TAAATTACAAAACGCATATTGAAGTTTTATGGAAAATCTTGTATTCATTATCTTTCCACTAAGATCATTAGGATTCATTGATTATCTGAGAAACAAACAATGAATCTCGTCAGCAAAAGTATTTTCATTGAGAGGGCATCAAAAGCATTCTTTAAGATGGAAAATGTGATACCCAAATCCGAATTGGATTAGTGAAAATTCATTCCAAAAATTAAAGAAAGTACTAAGAAACAGAAAAAGTTCGTTATAAACAAAGAAAAGTACTCTTCTTCTAAATGATATCCATCCTCTTTTATGGCAGTGAATGCTGAACATTATCTCTCCAGATGAAGAAAAAAAAACGAGAAGTAACAAAAATGTGGTTCTCAGGAAAGATACTGGAATTCCCATGGACGAAGCGAGTAAGACGAGCATGATACCTCAAAGAACACTTTAGAATTAACCAAAGTCAGTTGAACATTCTTCGACACACAATGAGTAAAAGTGTGTCTGAATAATTTATACTTCACATGGCATATCGAAGAGAAGAGAGACAAGAGAAGGAAGCGAGTCTTTCCACATGATGAAGCTTATAGGAATAGATGACGGAACGTGGGGTCGGTATGCTTGAGAGAGTGGGAGACATTTAAAAGGATACAATGGATAGGAAGTTGTGGCGACTCATGTTCATCCACATTTTGAATGAACATGGCACAAATGAAGAAGAAGAAAAAGAACAAGAATAGGAAGCGTATTTTCGTACAGCTCTTACTATAAGGTCAGACTACACGTTACATGTCTGTTGACAGGCAATTAGCTCAGAAGTAATAACCATTCCCAAAGATGATGCGATTTCTTTGAACAAGTAAGTTTTGCGGTACTATTCCAGGAAAGCACCCAAGCAAATATACTTTCGGTAAAATATAATATTTGCAGGCATCGTTAAAGATTGAAAACAGTTAATTAAATCTGGATCAACTCAAAACGTAAAGGTACCTTTGTATTCGCCCCCGGGATATTGTTAAGCAATTTAATTTTGATAATTTCTAACCAAGGAAGGATATCAATAAACCTAATACTACGCAATTATTTACAGTTTAGGAAAGAATATAAGAGACAGTAAAAGAAAATAAACATTATTAAGGAGAGAGAACAATATAAGTACAGGAACTAAGAAGACAAAGGATAATGATTGGCATTGCATTTAGATTTTTGAAGGTCAAAGTTGAGTGGAATGAATGTGAAGAATTTTTTTTTACAGAAATGAATAAATATAAATAATTTAATAAATAGTAAAAATAATTATCGCACTGTTAATATATTCACCATTTTTATATTTTTCTGTCTCAGGTAAAATCAAGTCAAAAGCCGTTGCTTCCAAGACATTCCTTTTCATTAAAAAGATTGGTATAAAAATACAGTGTAACCTGGATAAAAGAGACCCGGATATAAGAGAAACCCAGATATAAGAGAGATTTTCTCTGCTCCCAAATTAGAGCCTATGTTAATGTATATAAAATAAACCAAACCCGGATATAAGAGAAACCCGGATATAAGAGACTTCGTCTCCGGTCCCGACAACTCTCTTATATCCGGGTTACCCTGTATTTCGATTCATGTGAGGTTATCTTTGTATAGATTAATAATAAGAACACGTCATTAAAACTTTCATCCGCCAAATAATTGTTTATTGTTCTTCTTCTCTTGAACCGTGGACAGCGGCTCGGATTGAGGAATCGTAGAACCGAGTTCAACTTTCAGTGGGATCCATTACATTCAAATCCGTTAAAAATCTTATTCAATCATCACCTTATACAAAAGTAGATGTATCATCACAAATTACAGAAATATATTAAGAAAAGGAATTTTCAGCATTTATCTTGTCAACATTAGCTTTATAAAGTTTTCTTTTGTAGTTATATTAGTTTATTAATTACAGGTGGAGATATGCACCATGAAATTGAAAGACATTTTCATGAAGATGAAAATACTTTCCAGTGAGCAGGGAACCGTTCATTAATAACCTTAGTAAGGTATGAATCCTCTTCCCCCCTTAGATATGGGTAAATTGCAGGACAGAATGGATTCTTATGCCTTAGGTGGCGGCCGGTCTAGGAGAAGGAAACTATGAATTCAAAACCGGTTTAGATAGGGTTGGGCTCCGTCACGATATCTTGCTCAAGAAACAACATTTACACTGCGGCTGCATGTGGTGTCCTTACGTCCCTGAAGGGTCACAATATTCGTAATCGCGTTCTTACTCACTTAATATCGTCGATTTTATTGGTGGTTCTGGCTGATTTTACAAATCTGTATTCTTCTACTTGCTTTGATATATAATCTACGAGATGTTATTTTTCCCTCACTGTTTACATATCAGCGGAATGGAATAAAAGCGCGAATTTACACGTTTTGGCTGCGAGGTCATCTTCAAGGTAAATCCGATAGCACACTTCTCTGATGCTCTGGCCAGAAAGTGAGTGGAACGTCTATTTGGTATAATCTCGAGTGTGCTCAGTTCATAATGTGTTCGTCCCATATCAAATTCTTTAAGGGAAATGGTTTGTTAATGACAATGCCTGGCGTGAATTCCATGCGGCTTACTGCTAGTTCATGTGACTTAATAAGATAAATATTCAGTGTATGACGCCATGAGGACAGTACATTAAGAAGAATATTAGCTTCAGTAATTTCATCTTTTAGCAAATAAGGTATTTTTATGGGACAATGAAAATGGCATACTTTTTTAAAGAAGTCTTTAAAATAACCACATAAAATAAAGCAAAGCTTATTATATATATGATGATAACAATATTTATCGTGAATTTTCAGATGAAATAAAGAAATATGTAGATAAAAAAGGAAATTGAAACTATAATAAAATGTACAAAAGAATGTTTCCCACGACATCACAAGGTGCTATAAAACCAAAGCATTAACATAACATCTCGAGTTATGCACTCAACTTGTCGTATCAGATCGTAACTCCCATATGGATGTCAGACATGGCGCCAAACATGTTCAAATATATCTAAAGTGTAGGTTTTATATAACAATTTCTTAGATCCATATAGAAATTTTCTCCGGACGAGTGAAGCATGTGGATTTTAGTGAGGAGCACCTTTGTTCAAATATCATGGACTGCTGCTACATAATCACAAACAAAGAATTCTAACAGACATGAGGAACTACATCACTTGATCTCTTTCAATAGCAGCATCGGCTACAATGGAATGTGCTTATACGAAACAGTGAATAATAACATTACCAAGATGCTGATGTTAAACACGACTACAAACAAAAAGGAAGAAGGAAGCCGACAGCAACACTTGGAAGAGCTATAAGAATAAGAAAGATATCTTTTCTGAAAATTTGATTTAATAGAAAGATTTTATAAATTTCTACCGACAGTAGCAATGTGTGGCACCATGCATCATTAGAAAACTGAAGAGAGATATTCATAAATATATGATTTATTTTTATTCGGTTTGTTAACCAGTTGATAGTTATTTAGAGACGAAGAATAATTGAGTTTTGAGAATAATTCTCTAATTGTATTTAGGCGATCCGAAAGAAAGAAAAAGGAAGAAAAAAATAAAAAGAAAAGAGAGAGAAATAGATGGTACAAAACACGGTCATAAGCACACACGCTTAAACTAACACCATAACAGGTGTCAAAAGATATCTAGGCCAAAGTACCTGACCGAAATCCACGAAAAATAGAAATTGTTATAATTGGTTGAAAAAATAGAGTTTGGAAATAATAAAAAGAAAGAAAGGGAAAGACAGGAACATGATACAAGACGGGGTCGTGAGCGAATGGGCACACGCGCGATTGATGCATAACAGATGTCGGTCAAGCACCTGACCTACTTTCGTGTCCGCGGAGTATGGGAGTTTATTATCAATTTGGTTGAAGAAATAAGATTTTAGGGACAATGAAAAAATATTAATAGGTAACGAACGAAAAGGTGTCATTGAGATGATAAGTAACCGCTGGGGAAATGTATACGAAAAAACAAAACATTAATACACTAACCCTGACCATTTCTAGAGTTGAAGATAAGAACCACCCAAGATGATGAGTGGAGAATATTTTCAATTTAGATAATTAAAATTTTTTTAACAGGCCCCGAGCGAAAGAAAGAGGTGAAATATTTGTTTTAGCTCGCGGAAGACGCCGACAGGTCGGAAAAATTCTTTCTTTAGGTCGCATCTAATTAGCGGCAGGCTGTTTTGACAAATGCCAAATGTGAAAGAAACCGGGATCGTCATTTTCGTACGAAAAGGACAATTTGGATTTTGTTTTTTTAAGCAAGGTATTTCTTCTCCCCAGAACAAAGCCACGATTGGAGACGTCACGAAGGAAGGAGGGAAGATACCGACCAGAGTCTCATTAGCCGAGGGCAGTCACATGATACATGAGGGAGGAGGAGAGACACCCGACCAGAGTCTCATTGGCCGAGAGCGGTCACGTGGTGTGCGAGGGAGGAGGAAAGATGCTCGACCAGGACCCCATTGGTCGAGAGTGGTCACATGACATACGAGGGACCAGGGGAAGTGGGTATGCGCCTCCCCCCCCAGAGGCACTGTAAGGAAGTAGGAGTGAAAGTAAGAGCGATAATTGGAAATCAGAAATAATACGACTTTAGAATTATCAAGAAAACCCTGGCGCCGACAGACCCACCCCAGCAGGACCCCAATCGACAGAAATCAGTTGCAGGGCGGACGGCGAGAGAGAGCTGCAGAGCGGACGGCGGGCCCTGTTCATTCGCCCCTTTGCGGGCAAGGAAGGCCGGTCCGTTTGGCCCGGAGAGGCAGAGAAGTTGGAGTTGCAGCACGGAAGAAAGAAGTTAAAGTTGCAGTTGAAGGGCGGACAGTGAGGGAGCTTGAATGCGGGCGGCGGGCCCGGTTCATTCGCCCCTTTGCGGGCAAGAGAATCCGGAGTGAAGAAATTCGTCCAGCCCAAGTCGAAGTGAAGAAAATTGCCCGAAAGCCGAAGAGAAGTTAAAGTTGCAGACCAGACAGGCAGAAGAGTTGCAGGCCGAACAGGCAGAAGAGTTGCAGGCCGGACAGGCAGAAGAGTTGCAGGCCGGACGGCGAGAGAGAAGTTGCAGTTGGAGTTGAGTTTGCGCCTCGGACGTAGAAGAAGTTAACTTGCAGTTGCGCCTAGGAGAAGTTGGAATCAAACCAAGCCTAAGAATAGAAATTCGTCCAAGACAAGTCGAAGTGAATAAATTCATCCAAACTCAAGTCGAAGTGAATAAATTCGTCCACCCGAAGCAGAAGAGAAGTTAATTCGTGCACTGACGGCGAGGGAAATCAGCCGTGAACAACTGGTAGAGATCAGCGCCCAGTGTCGAAACCAAACCACACCCCGAAATGCAAATTTCTAGAGAACAAGCAACTCGAAGTCTTAAAGTTGTATGGTAGAAGCTTGGTGCCACAGTCCATAAAACGGGTCGGGAGGTAGGAACAATTTTGTGTAACGAACATTTAGATATAAAAGGTTGTTACCTTTTTTTTTCTCAATAATTTTTGGCCTCGTGAGTTTTTATTTTTTCTTGTGTGTTATCACCCCCGTTGAACCCAGCTGGCATACGGCCCCAATCCCTGTTTGATCCCGTCTGTCTAAGATCTAATCACAATGTGGGTAGGCAGACCGGAGATCAGTACAGTTACCCTAGTAACCAGGCGTTGGAAGCGAGTTGGGAACGACGAGGCTGGTATTCATCTAACCAAAGGGTTAGAACGTCACACTTGGAGCAGCGAGGAGCGAACAGCTGACGCCGCGGCAAAGACGTCACAACTGGTGCTCTCCGTGACCAGGATATCAGAGCCTGGAGAGCACGTGACGTCACAACTGGTGCCGCGAACGAGATCGAACGACACAGTCGACACTGCGACCCGGGGGGGCGACGTCACAAATGGCTCTTCGGTCCTCATGAGTATACACTTAATTTTACCATTGTTTAGACAGCTCCGCAACACTAGTCTAATGCCCCCCTCCCAGACTAGACAGTGTTTTCCTATACAAGATATTTACTCTCTCTCCCCACTAAGACGACGTGACACAAGGATTTTTTAAAGGGGAGCACCCGAGCGCAGACATTTGTGCAAGGAACAAAATTTGCCCGCAGCCCCAGCAATCGTCTTTTGTGCTAGCCTCGGTGCAAACACCGATCCCTCTCTCTGGAGCAATGAATGGGCGCTGCCTCGGGCAGCTATTCCCCAGGGCTGGGCACGTCTCACTATAATTTTTCTCAGTTGCGACTATGTCCTTTGATGGAGTCGCCCCTGAGAGCAAAGGCAGAGACGTAAATGAGAGATGATAAATAAACGTGTTACAAACCCACTCAAGAGAAGAATTTACACTATACAAGGCAGAATGCAAGTACATTTACTTCATTCAATCCCCCTCACACTGTTTAGAACACGGGGTGTCTACTCAAAAAGGTTTATCTACCTATATGACTTAAGGGTGAAATAATGTTTAATTGAAAGTAAAATCCATTGTCCCTCTCTCTCTCTCTCTCTCTCTCTCTCTCTCTCTCTCTCATAGATAGATAGATAGATAGATAGATAGATATAGTCGCTTGGAAAAAGAACTTAGGTATTTTGGCTTGTAATTGAACAAACCAATGCCCAAGGGAAAATAAGCGATAAAAAAGAAAGAACTAAGACAATGAAATTGAGGCGAAAACAATCGTCCAGAATTAAAGCTCAAAGTCCAAAAAAAAAAAAAAAAAAATCCCAAACGAGTAAAGCAAAAATATATATATATATAAAATAATAATGGACTCTGCCGTCGATTTCGACGTATGAGGATCTGACAGCTTATTGATTAAATTATGAAAATTTGTACGATCATCTTAAGTTGCATTTAAGACCCGCTAGTGATTTACAAAAGAGGCCACATATGGAGCAAGTGTGAGGATTGTGAAATGCGATCACTGTTAGATTGGGTTTAGATCTTGCTCTCGCTTCTTGAAGATGATTCAGACAAGCAGATTGAAAATTGCTGAGTCCAAAAAAACACGTTGATCTCCATTCTACCCGTTCCAAATCTAAGCGCTCAAGGGTGTTATGTGGTATATTGACTGCTGACAAGTTGCTTTTCAGCTTGTCTTTGAATCTTAGCCATGGGCGTCCTACTTTCCCGTAGCCCTGATCTAACTGGCTGTACATTAGGATCTTGGTATATATATATATATATATATATATATATATATATATATATATATATATATATATATATATATATATATATATATATATATATATATATATATATATATATATTCTCTACATCCTCATTGTAACTCACATATTCGGTCCGTTGTATCGTCAGCAGCTTTCTGTTGGATAATATTTGTCCTTCTTTAAGTTTCTTTTTTCATTTATGAGGAGATTGTTCACTATGCACTGCCATATACGTTGGGAGATAACACTTCTGTACTCTTTTCATTGTTTCTAAGTTTTTCGGTCTCCTAATACTCTGCTTAGTTTTTGGAATGCATCGTTGGTCATCCCAATGCGTATTCAGATCTCAGTGTCGAACTTTCCGTCTTCTTTTAGAACATTTCTCAGATATTTAAATTGATTACTTGTTTGATATTAATATTCCTGCTTTGCAATTTACATTTTGGACTCATCCTTTCGCAGACAACCAGGCATTCTCTCAACTTGCAATTTATATATAGTCCCTTTAACAATGCTTTAGGTTATTCTAAATATTTCTAGATATATTGTACATTTGTTAGTCTTCTACATCCAACCTCATCTATCGAAACAAAATTCTCCCATTGTCTTTTCACGCGACACAATTTAATCTTTATAAAAATCGATAAAACTAGATTAGCCTACGCGACTTTCGTGTCCCAAAAATTAGATTGTAAGAGATTTATAGATAAGCCATTCACAAACGTCACATTACGACTAAGTCTTTATCGAAAATGTTAGGAAAGTGACATTAGTTCTCTTTGCTATTGAGTAAATGCTCAGAATTACAGTGTATCAAAATATAATCAATTCTAAATTTTTAGTTGAAGAAGCATAGCTAGCTTCTCTTGCATTTGCACTGCTAAGTTTTATTCGTAATTTTAGTCATTTTGCAACTATTTTATTGAAACTGTCACTTGAAATCATTAAACTGCGCCGAAGTAAGAAAAAATGTTATCCCAGTAAAGCAGGAAAACGTATATTTTTTTAATTATATTATTTACATTGTTTGGACTGTCGTACACATCTTTATTGTCATACACACGAGGTTTCGGCCAGTGTACGGTCCGACCTTCATCAGGTGACTGAAATGTCGAACTGAAACTTTTATTTCATCCACCGGGGTAGATTGTCCGAATTCCATGTGCTACGCCCCTTCCAGATGAATCCGTTATCTTCCTTTAACTCAATTCTCCAAGTTTTTTCACCACTGCAGTAGCCAGTAGAACTGAAATCACTTTGGATCAAGTCACATGATCCAACGGACGCTTTAATCCATTGGAACTTGAACAACCTACCCGGTTGTATGAAACAACGGTTCAGTTCGAAATTCCAATCACCTGAAGAAGTACGGAGCGTTCAACAGCCGAAACGTCGTGACTACGATGATAACGATGGTGACAAAACTCCGAACAATCTAAATAATGTAAATAATTACAGTACCTCATTTCAGAAATATGGACAGGTATATTTATTAATTGAGAAGCCTTCCTATATGTAACAACTAATTTATCGATAGGTCTAATGGCGCTAGCAGATAAAAACAAAATGCAATTTAACTATTGAAAAATATATAGTTTCCGACCGTTGGCTAGACGCAGACTAGATAGATTATGCATTGTTTTCCTCTGTATCTCTTACCTTCAATCTGCCCTGAGTGCATCAGATTTTCCATGTCCTCCTTCCGCAGTATATACCCTTTGTTAAGTATAATTGTCCATTTTACTTCGTTTTTCTATTAAACTTCGTCCTTGCACTTAACTTCAACCTATAATTAATTAAGTATCAGTCTGTATAATCACATCTCTTTTGCTTTATATATATTCTTCATCTGTGAGGAGATTGAGAATATTCACTGCCATATAGAAGGAGTGATTAGCGGTAATATGATCATATTGTTCAATTAACTTAAGCATTTCAACCAATATATTTGGTTTCTATTTTAAAATTTTACAACCGAAATTAAACAGCATTGTCAATGAAAAGCAGCCGACGCCACGGGTATAATACATCTCCATTGGTGTAATAAAGGGACAAATAGTTCTTATTTCCATTATATATAACTGATACCGACTCAACTATAGACAACGATGCTAAATATCATGGTCTGAAGATGTGAGTAACTAATAAGTTTTAAAGTTATTGGAAAGAAATGAGGGGATTATGCTTACTATAAGAAAGATACAATTGAAATTTGTGGAAAAATAATTAGGAACGAAAGCTTGGAAAATGTAACACGCTGGGGGCGAAATGAAAGCAAATAAAACATGGAAATACAGCGTGTAAACTACATAATGAGATTTTTTAAATGGATATTAAAAACGAAATTAAGAGTTTTAGTGTAAAGATAAAAACTTAAAATTTTTTAAAAAGTACTAATTTTTGGAAGGTGTTGAGAACCATATTCTCCCACGGTATTGAATTAATAGGGAACAAATAAGATGCAATGGGCGGTTCGCTGCTCATTGGAAAGTGTTTTTATCTTTATAAAAATGTCTTTCAATTTCATTGTGCATATCTCCTCCTGTAAATAAAAACTAATATAACTACAAAATAAAATTTTATAAACCTGATGTTGACAAGATAAATGCTGTAAATGTATTTTCTTAAAATATTTCTGTAATTTGTGATGATACATCTATTTTTGTTTGAGGTGATGTTTGAATAAGATTTTTTAACAGATTTGAATGTTTCAAATACACATCCCACATTTTATCGCTAATTTGAAATTGTCTGACACAGGAAGTATGTTTTTTTATATATTTTGTGACAAGTTTCTTTAAACGTCGTATTATTTAATACATTTCTTTTTAGAAATGTATCGGAGAATGATTAAAATGACAAAATCATCTGTCAAAAAAGAAAAAAAAATGAAATAAAAAAAAGAGAGAAAATCTGTTAAAAGTCTTCAGAAGATCCAGAAGATGCATTACAATATTTTACAATGT